ACATATAATTTTAAAATATCTTCAGCTTTCTAACAAACCAAAAGAACATTTTAGTTCTTAGCAAATAGTTAAACTATATTGGCTGTCTAAAGATGACAGAGCCTTTTCCAAGAAGTTACCTCCCTTGTTCTCAGAGCTCAACATCTTCTAGGAATGTGCTAGATAAGATAAATGGTGTATCAGGCACGTAATTTAATTTTGGATCCATGCTATGGTTTCACAAATGACATTTGGTACATAGTTAAAGGACTCTTCATAATATACGTAAGTCTGCATTTCTCTTAGGTTATTATAGATAGTTGCTTATTGCTTTCACACAGTCTTACTGTTAAGGTGGGAAAAGCATGTGTTTTGCCATTAAGTCTAGGTTTCAGTACTGTTTCTAGCATTATGCTTTGAGTCAGTTACTTGGCTTCAGTTTCCTCAATTGTAAGATGAGATTGTTTCTTGCAGTAAGAACTCACTAAAGTAATATGTACCTGCAAAAGTGGGCAGTCGTTTAAGTGCTCTTTTCTTCTACCTTGTTGCTTTATTAATTAGCACTTGTGCTAAGGGCAGAACAGAAGACAAAATAGTCAAAATGTAAGAGAAGAAATTTGCTCTATTTTTATTTTAAATAAGTAGCCATGATGCCTCTGTCCACATTAATGAAGATTAAAAAAAAAGTTGATTTCTCATAAAGAGTATTTTTTTGTTTGTTTTTTGTTTTTTTTAAAGTGAGATCAAGTTAGCCTAACCTCACCTTCATGGATTTTGATTTTTAGAGAAGAGAGACTGGAGTTTTTTGTACAAAGTCCTTGAGCTAAGAGCGTGAATGAAACAGTCTTTTAAGAAAGATGAAAATGTAGGAATTTCTGAAGCCAGAGGTTCATATCTCGTCTCTTCTCAGTGAGGTTGCCAAGTGATCTGTTGAGATAAGAGGAAGGTCTGGGAAGAAAAACTATGGTGTGGGGAGCCAGCTGGGATGGATTTTAAAATGAACATCATTGAAAGCCAGGCTATCTTTCTGTACCTTTGATTCATTGAGTTTTATTTTTCCTGTGGATTTGATTATAATTTACTTTATTTAAACACTAAATCCTAATGCCTGGCTGGCTCAGTCAGTGGTGTATATGACTCTTGATTTCGGGGTTGTGAGTTTGAGCCCTATGATGGGTGTAGAGATTACTTAAAAATAAATAAATAAATAAAAAGAAACCACTAAATTCAAGCTCATTTGGTTCTTAACTAATTCTAGTTAAAAAAAAAAAACTCATCGTATAAAAGGTAACGCTATAGCTCTGCTTGTCTTTTTCCCCACAGTTCTATATTTCTGTCCATTTCCTCCATACCCACAATTTTTAATTCATCTAGTAAATACTAACCATGGTATGTTTTTATTCTAAAAGAATGACCCATATCAGGCAGAATGTTTCATTTTACAAATTATCCCTTGCCTTTATACAGCACTTAGAGTTTACCAGAATAGTTACGGAGTGTTAGGAACTGAAGTTTGAAACTTAAGTTAACATCAAGTTATAGGGTAGTGAATGCAATAGTAAAAAAGAAAACAAGGTGTAAATCTTTACCATTAGGTCAAGGAAGCAAATAAAGGAAAATTTTTCATTCTGCTTCAGTTCATCGTTCTCATTTTTAAGAATGTGAAGCCCAAACCACTATGTTGACTTTGAACACAATAGAAAACAACTTGTTACCCTCATTGAAATAATATTCTTAAACTATGTTCAAGGATCCTGAAATAGCATACCCTCTTACTTGCTTATTTAAGACTGCCAGATTGATACCTTTATTATAAATTGCTTTCTCAATCTTTAGTTTCTATTACAGTCACCTGGAGGAGTTACTAATAGATTTCCAGGGTCCCACCTCAAGAGTATGTAATTCAGTAGGTCTGGGGTGGACCCAAATGTTTACATTCCTAACAAGTCCCCAGGTGATGCTGATACTGCTGATCCAGTGACCATACTTTGAGAATTATGAATTTATTCAAACTCAAAATATTTTAATGGCTTTCTAATATAAACCAGTAATTTTTTCAGATCAAATTGCTGTCATATTGACTCTTTCTGGCTCTTTCAGTATGCTTTTGAGCTCTTACTTGCCAAGCACTGTGTTCACTTCTTCACAGAGGGGGAGATAAGGAACCTCTCTCAAGGAACTCAGTCTGATAGAGTTAACCGTAGTAGTAGTAGCTAAACTCATTTAATCCTCACAGGAGTTTTATGAATTGGGGTATATAACCCTAATTTTAGATGAAAACCTGAGGTCTAGAAAGGTTAAATAGTTTTCCAGAATTCATGCAGTGAGTATATGGAGGAGCTGGAATTGCTTTTCTCCTTTCCTGGTTATGCAGTATAAAAAGTTTGTGAAGGTTAGTGAACCACAGGAGAGATAGAATAACTGGTTCTACCTTAGGAAATCAGAAGACATTACAGAAGATGTGGCACTGGAGCCATCTTAAGGAACAAGTAAAAGCCAGATGAACTGGAACCATGAGCATTTGCAGCTGAGGGAGCCGGTCTGCAAAGCCATGGAAACCTGAGACAATCTATGTTTCACAGACTAAATAGTTAATGTAGGACACACAATAATGTAATAACACAATAGGCTAGATGGAATGTGAGAAGAAAGGAGACCATAGACAGCAGGGGTCAAAGTCATGAAGGGTAAAAAGTTTTGTATTCTGGGTTAAGAAGTTTTTAAAATAGGATTAAGTTTTTTTATTCTTTCCTCTTAGAGCTTTTATCTTTGTAAGCCATTGGTTCTCAAAGTATGATCTGTCAGGTGGCAGAATCAGCATCTTCGGAAATGTGTTAGAAATGCAAATTCCTGGGCCCCACCCCATACCTTCTAAATCAGAAACTTGGAGGCGAAACCCAGCCATCTGTTTTTAGAAGACCTCTAGATGACTGCATGGTACATACTAAAGTTTGAGAACTACTGCCATAGGTTATGTAGAATTGTTTAAAAACAGCCTTCAGACTTGCCAGAAATCGCTGTGGTGATAGTAATTGTATCTGACTGATTTAATTGTTTAAGTACAGTGCTTAATAAAATTGGGTTATTAATACTATTTAAGGGACACATATCTTCAGTATGATCCATTTACACTTTGCAAACCTATTCCTGCATTGCTGTAAAAGAGGTCTGAGTCAGGATTAGAGTTTATTATATCAGCAAAGAATAGGGTGCTGATTAATGTTCCTTAGCCTAAGGGAATGGTTTGGAAACTTAACTAATCTTATTTTAATCATAAAAAAGAGTAATAAACCCTTTTTAAGGGTTAGGGGGCTTTGTTTCAGTTGCTTGTTAATATATAAAACTGGTGTTTAGCATTTAAGGTGTTCTGTTTAAAACAGATGTGTTCAAAGAGTTTAATGTATTTACATCAAGAAATGACTAAAACTAATTCACTTTTTCCTTAATTGACATAGAAATAAAAAATATTGAGAGTATAATATAGGATGGTCAGACAAACTCTGAATGCCTGGCACTGTCTTTTTGCAAATTGCAGCCAATATTTGGTGAACATATCCACGTGGTGTCTGAACTGAACTTTACACCAAAGCCTTATGGTTTATATAGTTGTTCTACAGTTTATAGTTACACATAGCCATACTTTGTTTTACACACCTCTACAGCTGTTTAAAGCCTAACATATATAATAAGTATGTATTAACAATCTGTATATCCTTTCTAGTTACTAGGTATATAAAATCTGTTTGCATCTTAGAAATAGCAGCAAGAAGTAAAGGTATAGGCTGTAATTAATGTGACTAATGCTCACATAAACAAGCTTGTGTCCTCTGTGTATTGATTCAAGGATTTAGAAGTAAGAAATCCACTAAGGCATTGACCCCTTCATTTTACACATGAGGAAACTGGTCTTAAATACTTGATCTGGTGATGGTCACACAGGTAGTGAGTAGCAGAACCAGGATTATAACCAGATCTACTTAGATTACAGTATAAAAGGCATCACTACATAAGACAAAATATTCCTACCCCTCAATATGATAACAGTCTGAGGCCCTGCATCATCTAAAATAGAATAGTCTTCAAATCTATTAGCATCTAAGTTTTCTTTGAATATACTTTATGAAGAGTATTTTGCAGTTTTATATCAGTTATTTAAAGACCTCTTTTTGTATTGATAAAGTAGATTAAAATTGTCAGGTTTGTCTTTACAAGAAAATCTAATAACTATTCAAAATTTACAAAAATACCAAGAAAAGGATAGAGATATTCGTTATTCTTACTATTTAAGAGGACAATTAATGAACCTTTGGTTATTATCATACAGATGCTAAGGTGATAGTTGAACTTGGGATATACTTACTAGCTAGACTGCTTCCAAATATTTCCAGGAAAAACTGGTCTAAACCACATACCTTTGTAGGTGATATTTGCCAGTAACCCACACTGAGAGTATGAAGATTTGCCAGAATGTTGAGATTGGTGTTAACCAACCCTGCCAGTATCATTTGCCCAAAGGCCCTTTAAGAAGCTGGTTCTAGAAATTTTTAACCCAGAAGTAAAATCTATAGAAGGAAAGTAAGTCATCATCTGAATTTTAATGCAATAAGTGACCACTGGAATTTCCACATGAAAGTCAATTAGAATACAAAATTGGTAAATGAAGAAGTCTAAAAGATGGGGAAGAGTATACTGGTCATTCAAAAGGTATCTCTAAAAGTTCACAGAGTTAAAAGCTCCTGAATAGAATTGGGAGTTGTTTTTTAAAAAAGCATATGTATGTCATAAGGAAATTAGAAATGTTGGAGACACAAAGGATTTTTGGAAATCATCTGTTAACTGAGATCCCTTATTTTTAAAATGAGAGCTTTGAGTATACTGAAATTATGAGAATAGGCTTTAATAAGCTATTTTAAGTTACTATTTTTGGTTTTAAGTAAAACAAATGTTTTTAATTATTTTAAGAGTTGGAAAGAATTTTACATTTTTAGAATAATTTAATGAAATATTCTAATTTTTTCCAGTGCATCTGGGGGAGGTGGTGTAGCCATTGACAACAAAATAGAACAAGCAATGGTAAGTAAAAGTTTATAGTTCTCTCATTTCATAGGTTGCTGGTTTTAGGAAGCAGTTGGTTTTTATCAATTCTTAAAAAACACCTAATTTCTTTAAAACAAGATAACCAAAGTATATTTTTTGATAATCAGATTTAGATATAGATGTTAGAACATTGAGAATTTTTAGTCTGGAAATACCAGTGGGGTTAATATTTCCTCCCATTTGAACGTCTCACATTTCATGCATTACCATTGATAAATCAGGGCCATTTTGAGGGGCGTACATAATCAGAATGCATTATGTGCCTTCAAATATTTCAGCATTAACAATAGTTTATAATCAAAGAGTATTAAAATGAAAACTTAAGCTGGAAGCCTTCCTTTTTATAAATGCTGTTTTGGTCAGCTCTAATAAATGGAACTTGTTGAATCTGTTTCTGATTTCTGCTAAACTATCAATTTTTTTGTTCCCTTAAATATACTGTTCACATTATATAAAATATTTTGATTGAGGCTTATTAAAACTATGGACTATGAGTAAGGACTGTTAGTCTCAAACAACTTTTCTTTAAAGTTTTAGAGTTGGAAATTGTAGGTTGCTTTATCTCTTAAAGAAATGCTATAACTAGTTTAATATTAATTTAATATCCTTTGCTCTCTTGGTCTAACCTCTAAACTTTTTTTTTCTAATTCTAAGCTTCTAATTGACAATTTAAGGAACCTAGTATTTTAGGAAATCACTCCAGACTTTGAAAAGAAATCCTGGGCTTGCTGCCTAGTTGGAAACAGGATTTTTTTCCATCCTTCCCTCCCTTAGGGCCAGTCAAGATACAGTAGAAACATTAAAGCAAGAAGAGCAGGAAAACCAATATAAAAATGCTTCATATTTAAGAAGGCCCCAGATAGGCTAGAACCGGATAGCAGCACCTTTCTCTTTTCACTCTTTTTGACATTGCTAATTTTGTTTTTCACAGGATCTGGTGAAAAGCCATTTGATGTATGCAGTAAGAGAAGAAGTGGAAGTTCTAAAGGAACAAATAAAAGAATTAGTTGAAAGAAACTCTTTACTTGAACGAGAAAATGCACTGTTAAAATCTCTTTCCAACAATGATCAATTATCCCAGCTCCCAGCCCAACAGGCCAATCCTGGTAGCACTTCTCAACAGCAAGCAGTGATAGCACAGCCTCCGCAGCCAGCGCAACCTCCACAGCAGCCGAATGTCTCCTCAGCATAAAGCTTTCTTGCCTCATTAAGAAAAAACTGAAAGCAATCTATCCTTGTGTGCCACTGGTATTCTTTCCACTTTATACGAAAGCAAGTAGCCATGCTTTGGTTGTGTGTTTGGCCTTTTCAGTATTAGACAATCATTCTACAGGAGCTTTTCCTCCCTTTGAGATGTCATGCAGCGCTGTTGGTGTCCAGTTTTATGTCATCAGTACACGAGGAGTATAATAGATGGGGTTTATTAAAGCAAGCAAAGTCTGCATTTTATCTGGTGCGCATGAGTGGGGTCTTTTAAGAGCTTTGGTGGCTCTCTCGTTTTTCCTATCATCCATGGATTTACCCTGAGCCTTCCTATCACATTCTAAATAACAGTTCATCTAAAGAGCCACTTTTCTTTCAATACCAGTAACATTTGCCTACTTAAGTTTTCATTTATTTGTGTTTTATTTATTACAGGGCTGCTATTTTCATAATGTACATGAACAATGTCACAGAACTTTTTTAATTTTTTTTTTGAATAATTATAAGTGTCAGTAAAGGATTTGAAAGACAGGATTGCATTTAATAGATAAAACGTTTAGGCAATAATTGAACAAAAGAATCCTGGCATATTTCTAACACTAATGGCAATTTACCTTCGGTATTTATTTTCAGTAGTAAAGACCCAGCTTGAATGTAAATTTTGTATAGTGTAAGTATGAAGAACATAGTGCAACTGTACAGGTAGTCACCAGTTATTGTGATATAATAAATAATTGGGCTATTTTGATGAAGAAAACTTTGTTCATTTGTTTCTACTTTCTAATAGAGAAATTGCCACGATTCCTCTGCTTTTTGACATTTCGTATGACTTTCTTTTTTCGGGTGGGAATAAAAAGCTGTGAAATTGTTCAACCTACTTTGTAACCAAAGAAGCAAAGCTGTGTAATGGAGTTTTTTTTATAATGCACATTCTTTATGTATTTTTATTTAGTGTTTCCTCGGTCACAATTTTCTTTGCTGTCTAGCATGATCTGCATGACCTATAATCTTTGAACCACTTTCGTACCTCATGTTTTTATCCAGCACTCTTATTGTAATATGTACTAGTCTGTGAACAATGTCAAATAAAAAAGAACGAACAGGTAGTATGGTGGAGCTGAGCTAGTGTACTATACACTAGTTGTAAAAAAAAAAAAAAAAAATGAAGTGAGCCATCTTTTGTTCATTTAAAATGGTGTTTTGAATTTCGTATGCAGAAAACATTTTGTTACATTGCAGATTTTAATGTATTTAATAAATGCAACATGCAGATTAAGTGCAGTGTATACTGAGTATTTAAATTAAAATGTACATTTCATAAATACAGTTTCAAGAGAAAGCATCATTTTGTGTATACTAACACATTAAGTGTATGTCAGAAATTGATGTATAAATATATATTTTAACACATTTTCTGAAATTAAACTGCAGTTTTGTTGAAATATTTGGCTCTATATGTGTTCAAAATTTAATTTGACTAGATTTGTATTTTCACAGTTCAAGATATTCCCTAAATGAAAACCTGTTATTAATGACTTAATGATAGTTCTTAAATTTTCAAAGTAAAATAATTTAAAGAATGCAAGAATGGTGAGCAATATTTGTACTCAAGATTCATATTATGTCAGTGACATTTAAGTAAAATCCTTGTCTACCAAAACTTTTACTTGAATTCAGAAAGGTGCCTGTAGAAAATTAACATGCTTTGTGTCTATAGCTAGCTAGTTAATCAGGAGTTAACAAGAACAAATAGTTAGCTCTCCGTGTTGTGAAAAGAGGATAAATAAGTGTTCTTTACTATTTAAAATTAAAACTTCATTAGATTTAGCCTAAATGCATAAATTGGGGTGTATGTGGGATCACTAAATATTTTATATTGCAGTTGTTCTGGAAGATAACATTGAATAGAAACAAAATTTTAATGAATAACACTAGAAGTAACTAAGGAACTAATGACATACGCTTGAAGCAGCAATCCTATAGATGTGGAGTGAGATTTTAAGTAGAGTCACCCACAGATAAGTTAGAAAATTAAATTTCCGTGTTGGAATGTTAACCAGAAGGCTCACCAGGTATGCCGCTTAAATGTAAACAGTGTGATGTTTAATACAGGCAAAGAAAAATTAGTGTTAGGAAAGGTTGGGATTTTTGTGAAAATATAAATTTTGGTTATTGGGATAGAAAAACACTTTATGAAGTAATCACGAAATGATTGATAATGTTAATTTTAAATGGTAATTAAAAACAATTTTTACTACTTCTACGTTTTAAGACCACCAGGACAGAAAATATGGGTAGTTCACAGAAGAAATAAATGGCAGTTTCTCAAGTTACAGCCTCTAGTAACCTTAGAAATGCAAATTAATAGTTAACAAATTATCATTTGTCTTTTAAATAGCAGGACCTAATGTAGAAAAGGCAGGCTTTCTTGCATACTTCTAGAAAGTAATTTGGCAATATGTATCAAGAGCCTTAAATATTAATAAACTTTTCAGTTTAATAATAGAAGATAACTCATGGTGCAGTGTTCAAAAAATACAAAACTACCATAGAGCTTGTACTTTGCTCTCCCATCTCCCCCACTTCCCTGTGGATCTCCCTTCCCAGTATCTACCCCTGAAAACAGCTGTGAAAGGAAGTCTTCACGTCCAAACCTACTCTCATGAGGCATGCCCCCACCCCAAAGTCAGGGACAGACTTAGAAGTCCAAAAGCTTAAAGTTCTTCAGAATCAGATACACTTTTGGGAACAACATCAGACATTCCCCCAAGTGGTTAGTTTGTTTAGAAATGTAAGTAAATTTAAGTGTGACCTCAGGAGATTTAAGATCTCTTGCTCTACATAATTGGAATATCCATTGAGATGCCAATTTGGGGGCACCATCTAATAGGAATGCCATCTATAATTCTCTCAGTGTAATGCCCATAGACCAAGGTGCGGTGTAAATTTTCTGTTGGTTTACTCTAGCCAACCAGAAAATCATAGGTGAAAATTTTGTTTTTGGTAATGGCAATGTGTCTGCAATACATACCTAATTTTCCCTAAAGAAAAAGATTTTATGGCTCGCTATATCCCCTCCCCCCCAAAAAGGGTTATGAGATATTAAGTATGCAGTTACTTTAACTTGCTGTATGTTCAAAATAACTGAATATTTCCAATTCTGTTATACTATGAGTTAAGTAGAAGTATTAAAACAGACTGCTTTACCAACAAGTCCCCAGAGAGGGGTAATCATAACTGCTCTTATTCACAAAGAATTGTCACAGGTAAGAGATTGTGATGTTTCTCCAAGTTACAAACTCTATAGTCACTCCTAGACCTTTTTAAAAAGAGCGAGGGGAAGTCCTTAGAATTAGGGTAACAAAAATACCTGTTCTTCATGGGAACTTATCTCTGTAGAACCAGAAATAACTTACCAGTTGATTTGGGGGGAATAAATTTTTTAAGATGATCTGAAGTCATGAGTTGTTTTTTTTTAAAGGAGGTTCAGTGGTAGGTGCTTTGTGACATGACTCAATTCTCTTCAGTAGTTTTGTTAAAAAGACAACCCCCAGCTCTCAAGATTCAGTTTGAGTGCATAGACAAACCAACATATACAGTGCAATAATAAAAACAGTCAAGGATGGTTTTGTTAAGAAGATGCCCTCAAAGAGGTGACACCTGGTAAGAAAAAGTGCTCAAAAGCTTAGAGGAGAGCATAAACAAAGCTCTTTGGATAGCCACAGAATCGTTTCCCAGGAGACAAACAGGCAGACTGACTCATCCACCTTAGTAGGTTGGCATCTAGAGCAAAAATAATTTATCGAATAATTTTAGGCCGTGGGATTGTGGTCAGATAAATGTTTTAGAAAAATTAATCATTCCAGTTATCAATGATGGGCAATAGATGGGTGAGCCGAAACTGGAAGTGGAGAAGTAATTTAGGAGAGACAATAACCCAGAAATGATGAACAGGCAGAATTACAAAATGATAAATAGGCAGATTTGTGATGCTCATTAGGAAGTTTGTTTTGGATCTTTCTGTACCATTCCCAACGTCAGGTGCCTATTTTTCTGCTTCCAAAGAAAGATCTGAAACCCCAAGTCTTAACAACGTTTTAGTCAAAACTTTTCCTTCCAACAGCCATATACCTCTATGAAATGACAGTCTTTGTTTAATTTCACAAATTTGACAAAAGGGTAAGAGAATCGGAGGAGCCCTGGCTATCGCATTTATGCCTCTATACATTCAGCCGTATAGGTAAACCAAATTTTTTCCTTTTATGGTGACTAGGATGAGAGGAGCCCAGAAGCATGAATCCAAAGCCTGTCTTTCAGGGCTATCCATCCCCAGAAAAGACAACAGGGGTTCTGGCTCCATTGCAGATACCGAAACCCGAGTCAAAATGGTTTTGCTGGCTTCAACTTTTCTTCATTCTTTGATGCAGTTCAATTCAGAAAGAAGGTTTCTTTCTTCCCTGTAAGTCTGCAGCCTAAGCAAAACTGAACCTTTTCTCCTACCTCCTGCCTCAACCTAGTAACTCATGTTTGTTTTCTAGCAATACTAATGATAATTGTTTGCTCCCTATTTTCCCCTTTTCAACAATTCTAGGAATCGTCCTTGTTATGTGTATTTCTATACCAAGTCACAGAATTTCTATAGCAAGATCTGTTCTTTGAATGTATGTACTCCTTTTTCAGTGAAGAATATTACTGTACAAGTGCTATTTAATGATTTCCTTAGTGGGCTACAATCGGTATAATATGCTATGTTTACAGATGAAATATGCTAAGTGAGGCACTATACAAAACAAGTTAAAGGTCACAGACCTCTTTTAAAAAACAGAATCATCATAAATAAAAGTAAAATAGTCTTTCAGGATTGGTAATAGTAAAATATGAAGTTGGTATTTTGCACTGACACAGTCTACTTGGTCATAAAATTTGTTCAATATACTTAGTGAGTTAGCTTTATTTTTTCTTCTTCTAACCAGGGAAATTGGTAGATTAGGTGATTTTGAGAATTTTCCCATGGTCTGATGTCATGGATTGAGCTTTAAAACAGAGCATCTAAATTTATGGACCAAGACTGCCAACAGAAGCTAAAGTTATCCCTTTGAAAGAGGGAAGGAAAAGGTGCGCTAACTCAGATCATAAAAATAACTGAATTTTAAAACAAGGCAAATGCCACACTTCTCCTTTCCCCCCAAAAAAGTTTTTACCTTTTCATCTTTCTATATAACTAAAGTATTCTTGCCCACTGCAATCCAACTGTTTTCCAGATCACAGTTCTAACCATCATTTCACAGGGAAGCAACGCATCTATAGATAGATCATATCTGAGGACGTCCATGGACAGCAAGGGAATATTTTTCCCACACTTGGCATGAGATAATATCAGGTCAGTGTCTTATTCTAGTGTTTCTACTAAAATATATAATATACAATTTAATCAGGTGTCTGATGGACAGGAAAAAATAAATATGTGTAACTTTGTAAATCCCTTAAAGGTTTTGTTTTGGAGAAGTTTGGGTTTTATTTTTTTGTTTTATAGAAACATTGTTGAATGCACTTCAAATCTATTTCAATTCAGGTGCCGCACCCTGTACTAGATGTTTGGGGATAGAAAGATAAATGGAACATGATTTGTGCACTCCAGAGCTATCATCCAATGTAAAAGTAAAAACTCAAGTGCCATTGTTTATTTGAAATGTATGTCATAGTTTGTGGACCCCATATAATCTGTTGAATGGAAGGTTCATGTACATCAACGGTAATATTGCCATGCTACATAAAACCGTTTGACATTGCCAGGAAACAACCTTAAATCACCAAAAAGCTTTTACATCAAACAATACTTTCAGAAAGAGGGGATGTGGTGAAAAGCTTCCTATCTCTACATCGAGGCTGTGGGGTGTCCCCTAAAAGAGAGAAGTTTACATGTTTTTTAATACTCTAAGTTTGTAGATAATGAAACTGATTTAAATCAAACTTAACTAGAATAGAATTTGTGTGTCATGAGTTATATTATCTATTGTCTCCTAAGCAACACACTCAGTATCTTGGCTAACAAAACCAGCCACCATTCAATGAACCAAGTTAAGAATAACTCAGGTGTCTGATGCCAAAAAATAAATCTGATAGAGCTGAGAATCCAGAAAAGAACTATGTATTGAGTAAAGGATAAAAGTAACAATTCAAATCAGTAGGGGAAGAATAGATTATTAACAAATAGTATTAGGACAACATAACCATTTGGGGAAAAAAAACTAGATCTGTAGCTAACAAAAATTAATTCCAGCTAGACAGGCAGTAAGTCTTGCTTTTTGGTTACATATCCCTTATCGAAATCTCCCTGTGAAAATGCAGATAAACAAAATGTTTTACAAGATTATGAAGAGATGCCCAACCTCAGCATAATAAAGGGAATGCACATTAAAAAATAAACTATCTCAAATCCAATTGGCAAATACTTAAGATATATGTAAATCACAAGCCTGCAAGGGTGTGGAAAAACAGGAATCCTACATTGCTAGTAAATGTATAAATTGGCACAGCTACATTTAAAGGCAGTCGAATGATACCCATTAAAGTTTAAAATTCACATGCCCTGTCACCCAGCATTTCCAGTTTTTAATGAAACACATTTTTCATACTTGTGTTCTCAGGGTGGCTTGTACAATTGTATATTTGTCATAGAATAAAATTGGAAAAAACAAAATACCCATCAAGAGGATGGAACGCTATACAACACTGGGCATCAGTGAAAAAGAATAAGATTCATACACATACTGACATGTATCTCTAAGATACAATAAGTTTTTTGAAAGTTTGGAGGAAAATGAAAGCTAATACATGCAATACATGTGATACCATTGTTTTTAAGACACATACACACACACACACAATTAATACTGTATAGTGTACTTCTTAAGTACCAATTTGTATATTATAAAAATGTACAGAGAAGGTCTGGAAGGATACTAACCAAACTGTTAACAGTAGTTTGGTGGAGTGCGTTAGCTTTAACTGTAATATTCGATGTTTTGAGTATGCATTCATGTATTGTTTGTGTAATGACAAGTTAATAAATTAGAAATAAAATAAAATAGAAGGTGTTTTCTTCTTGTCTTCTGCTAATGTCCACCGTGGTGATCTGGATCTCGTTTTCTGCCTCCTCCCCTCCCCTTACACTCTCTCTCATTTCTTCTTCCCTCCCTCCTGGGACTTCATCACATCAGTGTTTTTACAGGCTTAATAATAAACACATGATAAATAAGTGACCCCCCCTCCCTAACTGGGAATGTGCTTCCTTCACTTGCTTTTTCTGCTACCTATTCCGCCTTTCCATTTCTTCCTCTTCCATTCACTGCTTCTTGCGCATGGTCTGACCTGGTAGGAGCTCCCATTGTGCCCCCAAGCCATTTTTCACAAAATGATCTTTCACCAAAGATCACTGTGTTGCTATCCAGGAAGTTTCAGTCCTTACCTTATTGAGCTGTTTTACCTGATTTTGGTTTATTATCATTTGTTTAGCAGATAGGTTTCTACCTGTTCGTTTCCCTTCTTTTCATTTCTTTAGGGGTTTCTCTTGTAAAATATACACACACACACACACACACAATATACACACATATATAATATATATATTCTATATATATCTATAGATAGATATATTCTATATATATGTTTATATATATATTAGAACATTTTATATATATATAATATATATAATATATATGTGTGTATATTGTGTGTGTGTATGTATATGTGTGTGTGTGTATATATATATATATATATATATAGGAGAGCTGAATTTCCAATTTGTGTTTAACAGATTAATCCATTTTCATGTATCATTACAGGCAGATTTGGCCATATTTCCGCCATCTTATTTTGTGTTTTCTCCTTAGAATGCTATCTAGGTCTTACCCCAGACCTTTCTCCCTTTTCCTGACTTTTATTCAATTAATTGTTTTCTTATTCATATTTTACCCCTCTGATCTTTGGGAAGTTGTACATTCCATGTCCATTCTTCCAGTGGTCTATCTTCTAAATTTTTTATCATTTTGCTATGGAAATTTTTAGTCATATACAAAAGTAAACAGTATAATGAACTGCTATTTACCTGTCGCCCAGCTTAAACAATTATCCACTCATGAGCAATCTTGTATTATTTGCACCAATTTTCCCCACTATCCTCTGGATTATTTTGAAAGAAATTCAAGATCTTATAACACTTCCTCCATTCCTATTATATTTCAGCACATAATTCTAAAAGATAAGAATTCTTTAAAAAAAATACTATTATCATCCCACTTCAAAATTAATAATTCCTTTAAAAATCTAGTTTGTCTACATTTTCCTGCTTGTCTTAAGTTTTTTGTAGTGCAGTTATTGAAATTCAGATCAAAATGAGGTCTATACAGTGCAACTGGTTGGCATGCCTCTGAAGTCTCCTTTAATCTATAGATTGCCTACTCTCCTCTGTTTCCCTTGAAATTCCTTAAAAATTAGTGTTGTTTGTCCTGTAGCTTTTCCGAAGTCTGATTTTCCCTGATTGCGTTCTGGTAGAATCATCCATTCCCTAGAGTTAGGTTAGTTAGATCTAGAAGCTTAATCAGATTCAGGTTCATATTTTATCCAGATTAATTCATAAGTGATGGTGTATACTTCCATCATATAATATCAGCTTGTCGCTACTTTGTGATTTGGGAAGCAATTAATAATCCCTGTCTAGACCAGTAGCCTGTTAATTTTATCATTCCTTCTCACTTCAAAGTGAAATTACTTCTCTGAAGAGAAACTCGCTCTAATCAGCTATCCAGTTACCCTGAGGTACGGTTCATCTAAGGAAGACAGAGACTTAATTCTTTCTTTTTACTTCTCAGTTTTCAAAATAATGAGTTGCATACCTACAAAGGAACAAAAATAAATAAGGAGCGATTAAGAAAGAGGGAAGAGAGAACGAAGGGAGTTGATTTAGGATGCTGTATTTCAGGTGTTGGAAGGGAGAAGCCAGGACAATAACTCCCAAAAAGTTGGGAGATGAGAGAAGGCAACCTGAGCACTGGTCTGTTTGCAGCTAAGTCTGCGTGTAACTTTGAATCAAGAGTACCTTGAAGAGAGTACACGCAGGAAGTTGCAGAGTGGAGACTGGCTTGGAGGCATGATCAGCAAACAGGAAGACCTCAGGGTACCCTGAGAATCCAGAGAATGAAGAGGTTCATAAACGAGCAGTGGACTCTTGTGTGCTTGCTTCCTACTACATGGATACTGGAGATACTACCCTTCCAAGTAAGGAGGTTTCCTAGAAACACAGCACGGGATGAGGGATATCCAGCGTATCCAGCATTACTTCTAAGCCACGCAGTAGAGATCAGCAACACCGGTACCCTCTGTCCTATTGCCTTTGTTTAACCTTATCTGGACTCTCCATGAGAATCAGCTTATCATTTTTATGGTATTGCCCTGGACACAAGAGGAGGTTTCAGTGTTGGGACATCAGCTTAAGAACCTAGGCGGCTGACACAAGAACCTAGGTCTGTACAGCCCTCCTAGAAACCACTCTTCTCATCCACCTTTCTCAGGCCCTACTTCTCTCCATTGCTTCTCCCCTTTCCCGTTGCATCCTATCTTGTCCCCAGTCAACTATTCTTGTGAACCACTCACTAAGATTGAAAAGACGCTCCTTCTCAGGAATACCAGCCTCTTTTTAAAGGGGACTCTTGGGGACCCTGGGTGGCTCAGTCAGTTAAGCATCCTACTCCTGGATTCGGCTCAGGTCCTGATCTCATGGCTCCAGAGATCCAGCCCAGAGTCTGGCTCCTGGCTCAGCGGGGGTCTGGTTGGCTAGTCCCCCAGTCTGCCCCTTCACTCGCTCCCACTCTCTTGCACTCTCTCTCTCTCTCTCAAATAAATAAATAAATCTTTAAAAAGAAAATAAAAATAAGTGGGACTCTTGAAGGCTACCTTGTCCCGTGTTCCAGAAAGAATGAACAAGTAATGACTTGGCACTGGCTGCCGAAACACAGCCAGCCCCTTGCTTCCAGGACCTCGAGTTCCAAACCCGTGAATCTCGGCTTTTTCATTGACTTCAGCTTCCTGAACCCATCCCCCTTCCAGAATTGGTAATTGCTGTGATGACAGCTGACTCATCCGGGCATGAAGCTTTCCTGGAAATTTCCTCTGCTCAGATAATCACACTTGCGGAGAAAAAAACTGGTTAATACAAGCTTCTACTCCTGAATATTAAAAAATGTTGGCACAACATAGAGAGTGTCAGAGGAGAAGAAAGGGCATCAGGGCTCTGGGACCAATAAGTGGGACTTGAACTAAGAAACATGGCACAGAAAGTTGCCAACGCCTAGGGGCCAGAAGCTGAGTGGTATAAAACTAAATGAGAATCCCCCTTTTGCCCTTTGATAGTTGGGAACCTTCAAACCAGGTGTCCCTCAGAGTTTGGTGAGAGCAGAGACCTCCTTTTTTATTCAGAGCTGTATTCCTGGTACTTAGTACTGTTACTAAATGGGTGGATGTCTGGGTGGGTGAATGAATGAGGGTTCACGTTTATGTTACATATTCTTTACTCTTGAGTTTACCAAACTGAAAATGCAGCCTGAGATAACCAGAGCATAGGTTTGTTGTGAGGATTAAACAAGATAAAATATGTACATCACTTAACTGGGACCTGGCCCACTGTATGGGTGCAATAAATGTTTGTTTTTGCTTTCCTTTTTATCTCTTTCTGGCCATCTGATTGAGGCCATGTTCTCCTTCCACATCATTTTTGACCAAAAGGTCTAGGAAAAAAACTGGGTGATTTTTAAGTCCTGGAAGTAGCACCTATGATAATTCAGGTCACCTCCAGAATCTTTTTTTCCCTCTGATCTCATCCTCATAACTATCCTATCATAAGGTTTGGAAAAGCTAGTACTTTGCTCATTTCACAGATAGGGAAACAGGTTTAGAGAATCCTGAAAGCTTATAACCTGCTGAAGATCTCAGATCTGGCTAGTGGTAGAACTAGATTCCAGACTGTGGGGTGCCAAGTCCCATGTTTTTCTACCCGTTGTACTCAAATGGGTTAGAGATCACAAGAAAAAAGTAATTCCTTTTCTGGAACAAATTATGTTGAAGTGGTACACAAATCATTTCTATTCATTGATTCATCTATTTCATTGAGGCAGCTCTGTGTAGGAAGATGGCCATACTGAATGAGCAAAATGAGAATATGTGACAATATAGCCTCCTTGGAATGAAGAAAGGTAAGTCACCATCCACAGAATACCAACCACACTGCAATCAGCCACTGATGTCTCTGATTTCTGCAGCCGCAGTGCAGGGGAGAGGTGCTATTTGTTTATTTGTTAGAAATGTGTATCCCTGGGCACCTGGGTGGCTCAGTGGGTTGAGCCTCTGCCTTCGGCTCAGGTCATGATCTCAGGATCCTGGGATCAAGTCCCGCATCGGGCTCTCTGCTCGGCAGGGAGCCTGCTTCCTCTCTCTCTGCCTGCCTCTCTGCCTCCTTGTGATCTCTGTCTGTCAAATAAATAAATAAATAAATAAATAAATAAATAAATAAAATACTAAAATCCCTGGAACACCTGGGTGGCTCAGTTGGTTAAACGACTAAACTTGATCTTAGCTCAGGTCTTGATTTCAGGATTGTGAATTTAAGTCCCCCACTGGGCCCCATGGTGGGCATGGATCCTACTTTAAAACAATAATAATAACAATAATAATTTATAATAAAAATAATAATTTAAAAATTTAGAAAAAGAAAAATGTATTCCCTTAAGTGTCACATGATCATTGGAGAAGTCTAATAAAGAAGTTAATTTTTTTAAGAGGCAAAACCTTCCCTACCTACTCATTCTCAGCCCTGCTGAGAATTAGCAGAGATTAACTTTGCAGTTGAGCTGCATATAATTCAGATATACACACATCACACATCATGTGTGTGTGTGTTTTCTACATATATGGGATCATACTAAACATATCCTTCTTTAACTTGCTTTCTACAAATCTATAATAATCAATAGACGTCCTTTTATAATACACAGGGATCATCTTTATTCATTTAAATGGTTACATAGTATTGTATAATAAACCATACCATAACACTTCCCTATTAATGGACAATTGACACTGGATTTTTTTCCTATAAACAAAATTGTTTATCCATATATCTTTGTCCAATTGCATGAGAATTTCTTCAGAATAAGAATGTCATTAGCCAACATTTCTTCAGTCCTTTGCCTTCACACCATGTGATTAGGAAAAGAGGATGGCTGAGTTGTGGCTATTAAGTCATTTCACTGTTAAAAGGTGGAGAAATAAGCCTCACAAAAGGTAAAACCAGAATGTTGTCTTTGGGGATTTTTTTGGTTTTGGTTTTTTTTTTTTGTTTTGTTTTGTGTAAGTATGCGCTTGTGCTACTCTACATTTGTTGGCTTCTGAGGAATTCTTTCCGGTTGACACTATGTCACCTTCTAAAAAGTCTTTCAAAATACTTGCCTAGAGCTTATGGTCTGTACATATGCATGCTACATAAAATCATGCAGAATTAAAACAATGAGATAAATTTTAACTTGTGAAAAGCAAAGAATTTTACAAGTAATAATCTTCAAACCTAGCAGAGATATGCTAAATAATCACGTTCATTTATTTGTGGTGGGAGTCAGACTTCAGAAAATATTATTTTATTTTATCATTTTCATTTTTAAAATTGAGATGTGACATATAAGATTATATTAGTTTCAGGTACATGATATAATGATCCAATTGTGTACATTATAAAATTCATAAATGCACAATAAAAATGGTATTTGTGTATGTTGAAAAATAATCACCACAATAAGTTAACATCTGTCACATAGATACATAATTCTTTTCTTGTGATGAGAACTTTAAAGATCTACTCTCCAAGTAACTTTCAAATATGCAATACAGTATTATTACTATAGTTACTTGATATGTAATTAGAACAGAAACTTAGTTCCTTAGCTCCAAAACTCAAATTCTATTTATCTTCTAAATATATTGATATTCTAATGATAAGATATCAAAAGACTCTATTTCTTTTGTTTGAACCCCATGCACTCCTCTGTCCCACTTACCTACCAAACAATATGCCTCTGATGGAAAAGATGAGTGTAATAAAAAAGGAAAAAATGATTAAAATCAGGTGTTCCAAGAAGACTGCTTAAAGCAGGGAAACAATATTTTGAATAACCTCTTTTTGTAATATATTTTAACCAACTTTTACTGAGGTATAATCTGTACAATAAAATGCATCATTTTAAATAAATGTTGTGTTGAGTTTTGACAAAGCTGCAAGTCACATAACCACAGCCACAGTCAAGACGAAGAACAGTTCTATCGCCTCAGAAATTCCCTCCTGCCCTTTTGCAGTTGAGTCCCCACTGTCCCTTGCCCTACGCTGGGTTTTTTAACACTTTAGATTTCCCCTTTTTTGAGCTTCATTTACATAGAATCATGCAGAATTAATCTTTTGAACTTGGCTTCTTTTGCCCAGTACAATGTTTTTAGAGACTCATACATGCTGCTCTGTCAATAATTCATTTCTTTGTACTTCTGAGTGGTATTCCATTGTGAGATGCTCCACAATTTATCCATTCAGTGTGGAATATTTGGGCTACTTCCTATTTAGGGTGATTATAAATAAAGGTACATGAACATTCATGAAAAATTCTTTGGATGGACATATTGCTTTCATTTCTCTTGGATAAATGCCTAGGAATAGTTCCTATGTTAAAGGTATATTTAACTTGATTTTTAAAACTGTGGAAATATTTTCCAAAGTGTTTATATGTGATGAGTATATTAACTGCAGGGTTTTGTTTTGCTTTGTTTTTAAGATTATTTATCAAAACAAAATACCCTTTAAGTTTTTTATTTCTCTCTTCATCATGTTAATGTTCTTTTCTTTTTTCTAAAGATTTTATTTATTTATTTGACAGACAGAGATCACAAGTAGGCAGAGAGACAGGCAGAGAGAGGGGGGGAAGCAGGCTCCCTGCTGAGCAGAGAGCCCAATACGGGGTTCGATCCCAGGACCTTGGGATCATGACCTGAGCCGAAGGCAGAGGTTTTAACCCACTGAGCCACCCAGGCACCCCTCATGTTAATGTTCTCTCTCAAATCATTGTGCATACTAATAATAGCTATTTTAAAACCTTGCCTGCTAATTCCATTGTCTGTCATTTCTGGGTCTGTTTCTATTTACTTATTTTTCTTCTGATTAAGGGTAACATTTTCCCAGTTTTTCACATGTCTAGTAATATTTGACTGGATTCCAGACATTGTAAATTTTACATTCTTGACTTCTAGATTTTGTTGACTTCCTTACAAGAGTGTCAGACTTTGTTCTGACAGTCAGTTAAGCAAATTGAGGATAAACTTGATCTTTTTTAGCCTGACTTTTGAGCTTTTTAAAGGGCAGGCCTAGAATAGCCTTTACTCTGAAGCTAGTTTAGACCCACTTCTAAGGTATAACTTCTCTGTGGTCTCTAGAGAAGACCTGGATGTTCAATGAGGGTTTTATACTCTGGCTGACTGGAATTCAGAATAAGTTATGAGATATTTATCTCTCAGCTCCCTGGTGATTCTTTGCCTTGTCTCATATAATTTTGCTTTACATGTATGCAATTTGGTATTGAGCAATATATTCAGTAGGACCTCTATGCAATTATCTGGAGCTGTATCTCCATTTATCTCCTTTCTCTTCAGCACTCTGCTCTACGAATTCCAACCACCTCAGCTTTTCTTTTCCAAATTCCAATCACAGTCTTCTCAGTTCACTGAGACTGCTGTGTCCTACTTGAGTTTTCCCTCCCAGTGCAATGGTCTGAAAATTACCTCTATGCAAAAAGTTAGAGTGACCATAAGGCTCACTTCATTTATTTTCCTTCTGTCAGGGATCACAGTTCTGCAATGTCTTTTGTCTAGTAAGTGGAAACAATTGTTTCATCTACTGTGTCTAGTGTCCTACTTGTTTATGACAAAAGGTCATTTTCTCTATCGTCACCAGAGATAGAAATCGAATATTTTTTAATATTGAAAATTTACAACCTTATCTAAAACTAAAACCACTTCTAGTCCTGTGACTCAAATTTATTAACTATCAAGATGAATAAGTTCTGAGAACGTAATATACAACATGGTGACTATGGTTAATAATACAGTATTATACACTTGGAAGTTGCTGAAAGCAGATTTTAACTGTTCTCACCACAAAAGAGAGGGAGGAAGGAGGAAAGAAAGAAAGAAAAAGAAAGAAAGAAGAAGGAAGGAAGGAAAGAAAAGTTATCCATGTAAGGTCATAGATATATTAATTATCTTGATTTTGGTAACCATTCTGCAATGTATAAGGTATATCAAATCATCATGTTATACACTTTAAATATTTATCAATCATTCCTCAATGAAGTTGAATAAATAAACAAATGAAAAAATTTGTCAATTATCAATATTCTGCCTTCCATTCTACAGTGGGCTGACTGGTGGCCCTCCAAAGATATGCCCACAACCTAATCCCCAACCTGTGGTTAACATTGCTTCATATGGTGAAGAGTGTGTTATACAACAAAGCGTGTGATTAAGTTAAGGGTTTGAGAGGAGAAGCTTATCCTGACTTCCCAGGTGGACTCTAAATGCAATCACGTGTGTCCTTGTAAGAAAGAGACGAGGAAATCTTAACACAGAAGAGGAGGAGGCAATATGACTACAAAGGCAGAGCTTGGAGTGACATAGCCACAGTCCAAGGAATACCTGGAGTCAGTGGAAGCTGGAAGAGACAAGGAATGAATAGGAATGAATCTTCGCCTAGAGAATTTGGAGGAAATTCAGCCCCACCAATACCTTGTTTGGACTCTTGGCCTCCAAAATGGAAAGAGAACAAATTTCTGTTGTTTGAAGCCTCCCAGTTTGTGGCAGTTTGTTATGGCAGCCCCAGGAAACGAATGCACATTCCTTCGACTTTTGTTAGCTTGCCGAAGTATTTTAAAGCAGATCTTAGCTCGATGTTATTATTTAATCTTTTCTTCTCTCCTCTCTCCCCGCCTCCTGTAAATTGGAGTTACCTCTGGAGTCTAACTTAGATGCAAACTGCACGTTATTGGCAAGAAGCTTCCTAGATGGTGTTCTGTGCCTCCTGCTGTATCACATTAGCAGACACGCAGTATCTGATTGTTACTTAATGCATTTTTAATGAGACCCAGCTTTCAAATAATTTATACAATCCCTGCTTAAAGACAATTCCCAAACTAATTTCAAACCCACGTTTAAAATGTGTCTTCTAAATCCAGGCATAAAATCAGTGTTTCAAATAATATGTGGTCTGAACATGTTCTGCTACTCCTGTTCACACTTAACAAAATCATCCCCAGTCTTCCTTGCTTCTAATTCTAGATTAGATTCCTCTAAGCGTCTATCTCCAGCTATCATTTAATAACTACCCAAGCTGCAAGGCACCCCAAAATGATCCAGCAAAATGAGAATCATATAGGGACGCCTGGGTGGCTCAGTCGGTTAAGCTGATGCCTTTGGCTCAGGTCATGATCCCGGGGTCCTGGGATCGAGCCCCACACCGGGCTCCTTGCTTGGCGGGGAGCCTGCTTCTCTCTCTGCCTCTGCCTGCCTCTCTGCCTGCTTGTGCACTCTCTCTCTCGCTCTCTCTGACAAATAGATAAATAAAATCTTAAAAAATAAAAAAACAGGAATAATATAGATAGCTATCAAATAACTTCATTTTTCCAAAAGGCCTACTACAATTTTCAAGTATGGAGCTTCATTTTTCCTCCTCGGTTATATCGCAATGAAACAATAGAACCCACAGTTAATTTTTCTGGTCACTGTCTCTCTCCTTGGCACTTTAGTTTTGCTTCAAAGCCCCCTGACCTCTCCCTGGAAACTGATTATCCAAGAGTTCCTTTGTCTAACCTTCCCTCCAGAATGCTTCACTGCCAACCACCAACCTCACAGAGCCTACTGGGCTCACGGTTTCTTCTCTGGTCTGGTACCTGAGGTCCAGATGTGATTATTTCAAAATAGAAGTTCTTTTGTGTTATGGGGAAAGTGTATTGGATGAAAACTCATGGGGATGAAAGGTCCAGCATAGGGAATATAGCCAATGGTTTGTGTTGTGTGGGGACAGATGGGAGCTACACATGTGGTGAGCATAGCATAATGTATAGACTTGTCAAATCACTGTGTTGTACACTTGAAACTAATTTAACATGCATGTCAACTATACTCAAATTCTAGAAAGGAGGAAAAAAAGGAAATGTACTATACTAAGAGTTAAAGGGCCTCGGTCCAAGCCCAGGCCCTTGGCTCTCTATAGCTTAAACCCTTTTCAGGGGAAGTTACCACTTCCCCTGTAGTGGTAGGGTAGCATTTCCCACCCTGTGGGATGACTTAAGGAACCGTGTAGACATTTACCCATAAAAAAAAAAAAAAAAAAAGAAAAAAAAACCCTGACTCACATAGAAAGTTATTCAGATTTCTTTAACTTCTAACCCACATGATTAAGTCACCTCAATTTTGTGTTACTAGGTCTTCAATGTCTCTTTTAACGTTGGCTGTTCTTTTATTCTTTTTGTCTTCTTAATTGTGGTAAAATACACAATATAAAATTTACCATGTTAACCTTTTCTTTTTTTTTTTTTTTTTTTTTTTTTTTTTTAAAGTAAGCTCCACAGCCAGCATGGAGCCCAACACAGGGCCTGAACTCATGACCCGGAGATCAAGAACTGAACTGAGATCAAGAGTCTGATGCTTAATCAACTGAGTCTTTGGAAGAAATCCAAAGGCCACCCAGGCACCCCCCGCCATGTTAACCATTTTTAAGTGTACAGTTCTGTGGCATAAATTTCATTCACATTGCTTGCTATCTTTAATATCACCCATTCACAGAACTCCTTTCATCTTGAAAAACTGAAACTCTGTACCCACTGAAGAGTAACTCCCCATTTTTCCCCCTCTCCTACCCCAGCAACCACCACTCTCCTTTCTATCTCCATGAGTTTGACTACCCTAACTATCTCATGTAAGTGGAATTATACAGTATTTGTCCTTTTGTGACTGGCTTACTTCATTTAGCATAATGCCCTCAAAGTTCATTCATCTGGTAGCCTGTGTCAGAACTTCTTAAGTATGACTAATACCCCATTGTATATGTATACCATATTTTGTTTATCCATTCATCCATCAGTGGATACAATGGATACATCTATCATCTGGATACTCTGGTTACTTCCACCTTTTATCTATTGCAAATAATGCTGCTATGAACATGGTGGTAACACTGGCTATTCTTCCCTTTTAATAAAGAGATAGTGAGGACCTGGCCTATCTTTAGTAGATTCCTAAGCATCTGGCTGGAATTTAATAAACATTTAAGAGCAGTCTTGTTTTTATTGTATTTGTTTTTATGGTTTTATTTTTATGGCAACTATATTAGTTTATAAGGGCTGCCATAACAAGGAACCACAAACTGAATGATCAAAGAAAAATTACTGCTTTACAGTTTTGGAAGCTAGAAATCCAAAATCAAGGTGTTGGCAGGGCCATGCTCCATCTGGGACTCTGGGTAGAATTCTTCCTTGCCTCTTATAGCTTCCTGTGGTGACCAGCAAGTCTTGACATCTCTGGTTTACCACCAGCCCAGTCTCTGCTTCCCACATATATGGCTATCTTCATATCATTTTCCTTTTGTGTATTCTGTGTCTGTGCCCAAATTTTCCCTTTCTATAATGATGCCATCAGACCATATTAGGACATACCCTAATAACTCCATTTTAACTTGACTATGCCTGTAATGACCCTATTTCTAAATAGTGTCATATTCTGAGGAAACAGGGGTTAGCACTTCAATGTATCTTTTGAGGAAATCATAATTTAACCCATAACAGCAAGGAAAATTGGTTTTCCGTTTATATGGTGATATAGAGCAGGAGAATCTAAATCTCATAGCGACTACATATCCATTATTAACTAAAGATGAACAAGCTCTCCTTTAAGAGGCAGAAATTGCACATGATTCCTTTTCTCTTTAATTTCTATTTTCCATTTCACTCCCCCCACAAAATTACAACCTAATGCAGTGGTTTTTAACCACTGGTGATTTTGTGCCACAAGGAACTTTTGGCAATATCTAGACACATTTTTGGTTGTCATAACTTGGGGAGTTGTGGGGATATGCTACCGCTGTCTAGTTGGTAGAGGCCAGGAATGCTGCTAATTATTCTTAAGAACACAGGAAAGCAAACCCCAAAACAACCAACAGAGAATTAACTGTCCCATAATGTATTGTGTTTAAGAGACCCTGACTCCGTATCCTACATTCTTAAGCCTGAAAGTCTTTATACCCTTACTTACTGCAATGAAAAAATGCTTATAAGAATCAAAATAGGGGCGCCTGGGTGGCTCAGTGGGTTAAAGCCTCTGCCTTCGGCTCAGGTCATGATCCCAGGGTCCTGAGATCGAGCCCCTCATTGGGCTCCCTGCTCAGCAGGGAGCCTGCTTCCCCCTCTCTCTCTGCCTGCCTCTCTGCCTATTTGTGATCTCTGTCTGTTAAATAAATAAATAAAATCTTTAAAAAAAAAAAAGTTAAGGAACTAAAAATAAATTAAGGAATTAATATTTTTAAAAAAAGAATCAAAATACATTTTTGCTATAGACTGTTTTTGGACACCCCCCCCACCACCACCAAATTCATATGTTGTAATCCCAACTACAGGATGATGGTGTTCAATGTTTGGGAAGGGATTATGTCATAAGACTGGAATCCTCATGAATGGGATTTGTAGTCTTATAAGAAAGATTTCAGAGAGATCTCTCGTTCCTTCCACCATGTAAGGACATGGTAAGAAGATGGCCATCTATGAACAGGAAGTGGGTCTTAACCAGGCTCTGAACCTGCCTGCACCTTGATCTTGGGCTTCCTAGCCTCTAGAACTCTGTGAAATAAATTTCTGTTGTTTGTAAGCCATCTGGTCTAAGTTATTTTTGTAATAGCAGCCTGAACAGACTAAAACAATTTTTGTTACCCATGACCATAAAGTTCTAGGCGTTCAAACTTTTTTCAATGAAGTTATTAGTATATCATTGTATCAATATACAATTAATCAAAAAACCCCAGAAGATATCAGAAATTATGATAAATTTTACACTTAAAAAGCTCTAGTGGAAATACATATCTTAGTAGGAGAACTATTGCGGATAATTTTAAGTTAATTAATGTATCCATGGATTAATATTATTTACTTATTGAATGAGACAGATTTAGAATTAATTTCATTTTTATTTTTCATTTTTATAGATGTCAGCTCTGAAAAACCTTGTTGGCATAAGTAGATGGGAATGGGAGTTTAGTTATGGCAACATCAATCGTTGAATTCATTTGAGCTCTATCTCAAAATCCACATAGTGACTACTCCTCAGATATTATTTTTAGTGATCAACATGTTGAAAATTCAATTAGGTCTTTCTTCAATTTTGTTGAAATAAAAATTGAGAAATTCCTACCTTGCAAAAGGACTTGTTACCCAAACAATTCCTAAGCTGTTTAGACCCCAGAGACTTTTATCCCCCAGAGCAAGGCCTCACAGTAAGAATAGGACAGGGAGAGAAGAGAAGAGAAGAACGTGTCCCCAGGTAGACTTGTATTAGTAAAGAATACCTAAGGAAGGGGCACCTGGGGCTCAGTCATTTAAGCATCTGACTCTTGGTTTCAGGTCGGGTCATGATCTCCTGGGTGATGATCTCAGGATCATAAGATCAAGCCCTACATCTGGCTCCACACTCAGCAGGAAGTCTGCTTGAAGATTTTCTTCAGAGGGGCCCCCTCTGAAATAAATAAATAAATCTTTAAAAAAAAAACAAACTTCCAACTATGGATGTTGAGGATCTGAAAATTAATCACCTTAAAACTATCTTTTCTTGGTTCCACTTGGAAACTCTTCATTCACCACTTTGAAGATTACTAATATAAAATGTCCTTTTAACATATGCTTATGTAAAACACACCAAAAAAAATGAGTCAATTTAAAAGTATATCTTAACCAAGAAATAAAGCTGTAGGACATGCAATGAAAATGTTAATGGTGGGTAAATGACTGAAGCAGAGGGAATCCAGCCATGGTGGAGAAAGCAGCAGGCTTCGACATCACACAAATACATATGTGAATTTTAGGGACCTTGCACAAGTCACGTTAGCCTCTGAGCCTCAGAGTTTTACATGGGAAACTTCTTTCATCCTACAGTGGTCAGTGCCTGCCTGTGAAGCTGCTACATCCATCCAGCCATCTCCTCACACATTCTCTCCAGGACGACAACTGCTCTGCTTAATCCCCAGTGTCTTTTCTCATAGTTGCCATGTTCATTTGAGGTTATTATTTGAGGTTTATTATTAAGAACTTATACAGAGTTGTTCCTCATGGACTGAAGGCTGAAAGAAGAAAGTTTCCAATGGAAAAACAGTCTTGTGGTTCAAAAGCTTTGCACAAATTAAAAGAGCAAAATGTTTGACTAGG